TAGCTGCTGGATTGCAGCTGGTCAGGATCTGAGCATTGGGCATTTCAGCCCCACCTCTAGCCTCCTAGAAGAGGAGAAGGGCTGAAGGTTAAGCTAACTACCAGTGGTCAGTGATGTCATCACTCATACCCTGTCAGTGAATCTCAAAATCCCAAAAGGACAGGGTTGGGAGAGTTCCCAGGTAACAACATTTAGAGGTCTGAGCCCAGACTTAGTACAGAAGTTGTGCACCTTTCTCCCTTAACCTAGGCTGTGCATCTGTTTGTCCTATCTTTCATAATATCCTTTATAATAAACCAGTGATGTGTTTGCTGTAGTTCTCTGAGCCAAGCTAATGGAACCCAAGGAGAGGGCTTACAACCTGACTGTCAGAAGCACAGAAAACAATACAGGACCTGCAGTTGGCATCTGAAGGAAGTGGCCCAGGGACTGAGCCTCACCTGTGGGGTCTGGTACTGTCTCTGAGTGGATAGGTTCAGAACTGACTAGAGGACACCCACTGGTCCCCGAGACTGTGGCACTATAGCTTTGGGGTGTGGTGTCCAGTGAGTGCAGGGGAAACTGACTAATTTTCCTCCATAGCTTCAGCCCTCCCTGTCTGCTGTCCCTCACTGTTGAAGGGTTTGAATGGACCTGGAGGAGGTGCCAGCATGAGAGGAAGGAAGAATGATGGCAGGATCAGGAAGAAGCCAGAGGGGTGGAAACTATTGACGAGATACAGAGGAACCAGGACAATCCAGAGCAGCTCTCCAGGGACAAGGACAGAGAGAAGTGGCCATGGGTAGTCCATTGCTGTGGAAGGCACAGAGGCTGACGTCTTGATGAAGCCTCAAGGCCAGGAAAGTGACTGTTGTGTCTATAGGGTTGGGTCAGGTAAGGGTTGCAACTAGTGTGTGTGGTCAGAGAGCTTGCCACCCTGTAAAGGATCTCTGCCCAAGGCTTCGGACAGTCCAGGAAAGCAGGCGCTGAGCTGGGAGCTGGGAGCTGGGGGAAACCTGGGCTGCAACTCCCTTCAGCCTTCAGTGCTACAGGCCCCGTGTTCCATGGCATCTTTCGTGAGAGGCCTCTAGGTTGAGGCTGTGCCACCGCTCATTATCAGTCACACGTACGGCTGTGGTCTGGACGTGTACAGCCGGCCTCCCAAATGCATAGTGAAATCCTGATCCCCAGTGTGATAGGATTAAGAGGTGAGGAGTGGTTAGAGATGTGGGACGTGGCTAGGCATGGGTTTACTGTTCGTTAAAAGGACCCCAGGGAGACTCCTTACCCCTTTCACCACATGAGGACGCATCAGGAAAGCACCATTTGTGAAACAGAGCAAGTGCTCACCAGGTAGCACTTCTGCTGCTCCCTCTTTCTTGGCCTTCCAGCTTCCAGAATTTTGAGAAATAAATTTCTGTTGTTTATAAGCTGCTGGGTGATGGTATTTTTGTTAGAGCAGCCAGCACATAGTTATTTAATCGGGGACTGGACCCCTCTCTACATATCAGATTGAGAGAGAGTGAGAAACAGGCTGGAGGGTAACATCAAGCAAGATTTTTGCTTAAGACAGGAGAGTCTTAAGCAGGTTTAAAAGTAGATATTCATAGTCTCAGAGAGGGGTTGGTTCACTAGAGAGAAAATTGCACAGTGTAAATACCTGGATGGGGTCTGAGAGGTGGGCCTGAGCTCATGTAAGGGGGAACCCCTCCCTAGGAACCAGAGGAAGAACCAGGCCTGGGTGCTGTGGGCAGCTGTGCTAATTTGGTAACAGCAAGGGAGTGCCAGGCACTGGTGGCTTCAGTTTCCTGTGTTAGCTAGGAAGGGCAGCACTGGGGCAGGAGAGGCAGGCTTGAGGTGGTGGCTATGTAAGAAAGCAGGTTGACGTAGGCGTTAGCATGCAGGCAGCCTTCTGCTGGCTCAGTGAGGTTGGTGACACGTTTAGATGTCCCATATCTCACCTAGCAGTGATCAGTTGTGCAGACACTGCTTGGAGCAAGGAAAAGAGGCTTGATTGGAGGTGGGATGGAAGCAGTGCTCCATGAGCTTGCTGTTGAGGACACTGGGGCTGCGGGGCAAGGCCGAGGGGTTTGGAGAGGAAGCACCTCAGGGAGAAAGTCCTGGGAGTGAGTCAGTGAGCGGAGATGGAGAGCCATTGGAAAGGGGGGTGAGACAGGCCCAGACTGTCCACATGCATGTGGGCGTCAAACACTACCCGTCAGGTTGCTGTGGAGTAGGACCTACGATCAGGACTTCCAACTGAGAGAGACAAGGAGAGCAGAAGGCAACACATGAGGGTGGGGGTGGTTCTTGAAGGGGGAGCATCCGAGGAAAGCAGATAGCCAACTGTACTGGGGGTCTCCAGAGGGGTGCCCACCTGTCTACTGATCGTCTTTGTACACCGCTGCTATCTTGAAGGGAAGAGTGGGGACGCTGGATTCGGGGCGTTTGCTAATTCAGAACCACAGCATGCTCGCTTTATTTTCTCCCACTGGCAGTAGCCCAGGAACTGCACTAGGCACCAGCAGCTGTCCCTGGTGGTACAGCCCAGGCCTCAGCTCGTCTACCATGTGTAGGTGGATCCACTCATTCATCCTCAAAGCTGGTGTTTGCTTGTTTGTAATGGATTCCTCGTCATGGGCAGTGTGGTTTGTGCTGTGGCAAGAAGTCCCCAAGAATGGGCAGAGTGGCCTTTGCTCTAAAGGCTTTCTCTTTGTTTCCTCTTCCTTTGGTGACAAATAAGTAAAATAATTGGCATATTTTTGAGGGAGGTGGTGGTAATTTTAATGTTAGGTATTTTTATTCTGAGATTAAGAGATGAACAAAGTTGAGGTTTTTCCTCATCGTGGCTGGAAAAGCAAGTAACACGTAGGTGCTTATCCAAGACAAACCTGAGGATCAGGGGTCCCCATCTCCTACTGGGAAACAGCTTTTCTATTATGTTGAAGTGTTGTACAGTTTTCCCAATTAGGAGTTGGGAAATCTGTGATATGTTTGTGTATCCAGGACACAAGTCGTTTGTTTGTGGATTGATTATTCCACATTTACAAATAGAAATAATTTGTCACAATATTTGATTTCAAAGATTATCACATGGAAGATGGTGACAGGAGGAAAAAGACTTACTACTATACAAATAACCATACTGTTTTGTTGCTGAGTAAAAAAAAAAATTTGCTATTGAAAAGGAATGAACCAACATTGAACTTAGAAACAATAGGGTGACAAGTTTGTAAAGGAGAGAAGAATGAGTGCTTTTTCCTTTCTGCACCATCCTCCCATCTGTGTGGACTCATTCTGACCTTTAGAAATCACGGTTAGTATACTGTTCCTTTATTTGGTGGTACTGGGGTTTGAACTCATACTTGCTACCACTTGAGCCACTCCACCTACCCTTCCATTTTTTAATTGACAAATAAAAACTGGATGTATTTATGGTGTGCATGATGCTTTGGTAGGTGTGCACACATTGAACAGCAAAGTCAAGGTAATAGCATTCCCATTAAGAATGAACCATAAATCATTTGCTAAGAAATGTGCAGAATTTAGGACTTTTTTGTTCTATGTTGTTAAAGTATATGTGGTATATATTATTTGTAATCAGAAAGAATAAAATTTAAATGTTTTTATAGGCATGTTCATTGTGTATTTAAAACCAAGTGATCAGCTTTGCTATGAACAGGTGACATTGCTGGAAACCAAAATATGTGTAAAGCAAATTTTTAAAACCGTTGAAAGTGTGTTAAATGTGATCTGTGTCACCGTGATGGTGCTTAGTTATCTCGTCTGCTTTTCATGCTGCATAAGGATTCTCGGATTGCCTGCTGAGGTAAGGAGTGTAACCAAAGGCCTTGTGACCTAGTGTGTGTAAACTTTCTGCTCCATCTCGTTACCCTGAGACACACTGTACGCACAGAGTCTTTCTTTTTAAGTGTGTGTGGTAGTATAAGTTAGAAGCTTAAATTTTGGAATAGGAAGTCTTGTTGTGTCTTTCTTTCGAGCTTCTTTGAACAGCTGTTGTTAGCTTTTCAGCCTCCCAGTGATGCTGAAAGTACACATTAATAGTGTGCTTGGTCATCTGAATGTGTTCACTCAGTCAGTACTGTTGAGAGTACGCATAGCAGTCCCTCTGTCTTCCTGCATTATTTGGTTAAGATTTGCGTGGCATTGGAAATGCTGCTCTAGAATAAGTAATCATTTCAGAGGTTTGTTTTTACCCAGTGAGGTACCAGTGTTGTCACGAGTTGCTTTAAAGGAACTGTTTATAATGGGAGTTGCCATTGTGTGTCCTGGAGTTCAGCAGGCACCTGCTGAGGCCCCCTCCTCAAGTCACACAGTGTCCTGCTGATGCTTCTTGTGGTACAGTCTCCCCACTGCACCCCTGCCTATGCTAGTGACCAGGGGAGGGGAGGGGCCCCTCAGGCTCAGCCCCTTGCTTCAGGCAGGGCCTCTACTGCAGTGCAGTGCACAGGCCCAGGCTGACCTCCAGTTGAAACCACATCCATGCATGGTGCCTCTGCTTCTCTCTGTGGCTTCCCTGTCTTCTTAAAGCTGTCTGCTGAAGATAGGTCCCATCTGAGCATCCCCATCTCAGTCTCTAAGGCCGAGAGAATGTAGGATGAGCCCTGTGTGCCTCCACCCAGCTTCAGCAGTTGCCTGTGTGTTTCCTGCCTTGTGTTGCCTGTGTGTTACCTGAGCCCTGCTTTTAATCATCAGTGCATTTTGTACTGTACATCATACTATGTCACTTTGTCTAGATCCTCATGCACCTACTACCTGAAACAGGTGAGACCTTTTGTGAAATGTGAACCAGACCATTATGAGACCCAGCAGAACTATTTCCTAGTGTCTGATACCCAGACCACGTTCATACGTCCAATGCAAGCACAGCAGTGACACTGCAAGGTGCAGAATAAAAGATTCAGAGTCATGCTGAGATAGAACTTGCCTTTGTTTAGCATAGAACCAGATTTGTACATGGTGATTTAAGAGCGTGTTCTCCATTTCCCCTCTTTCCTAAGGTCCTGGACGCGTCATCCCTCAGTTTCAACACCAGGCTGAAGTGGTTCGCCATATGCTTTGTGGCCGGCGTTTTCTTTTCCATCCTCGTGAGTTAAGCGTTGTCTTGCTTAAGAGTTTGTGTTTTGAATTAGACTAATGACCCTATTCACTGCCAACTCTGATTATTTTGATGGAACATCAAATAATCACCTGAACGAGAGGGGTAAGGATTGAGTGACTAATTGATTAGTGTTTTGAGAATTGTTTATATAATTTTATTTAAGAAAAAAAAACTGTGTGTTCAGAGAACCAGAGAGTCAGTAATTTAGATGTGTTTATGACCTGTTTTAAGTTGCCATTCAAAATGAATAGTTTCAATAGTGTGACATTGCACGAAGACAGTTTGTTACAGCTCATTTATGCATACTGAGCAGATGGGCAGAAGATTCAAATTAGTACAGACCATTGAAAAGTCACTGGTTTTACTATGTAGTCAGGCAGATACCAGCACGTTCCTATTTCAACATTAGACTGTAGCATTTATAGAATTGCTGCAGCAGTGACCCTTTCATATTTTAAGTATTAAGGTCATGAAGCTACCTTTAACTAACTACATTGTCTAACTAGGGAACTGGATTGCTGTGGCTTGACATAAAACTGTTTGCAGTGTTTTATACTCTTGGAAATCTTGCTGCATTAGCCAGGTATGTGTGTTATTTTGGCTTCTCAAAAACTCTTTGTTTGCTGTCACTACCAGATTCACCTTTCTAATAAGCACTTTGCTGGTCAGAGGTTTCTGTTGCTCTATTCAGCCCCGAAATTTATGTTCATTGTACAAATACTGATTGACTCCTGCTGTGTGCCACGGCAGGCAGAGTACTAATGATGAGAGCAGCCAGCAGGGAGCAGGTGGTGTGTGCCAGGGGCTGTGTTGAGTGAGTCATAAGGTAGGTGCTGTGCCAGCCTCCTGTGACACTGGAGATGGCAGTCACTTGCCCACTATAGGATCCTCCTAAGTTGAGTGGGGCAGGAATCTCAGCCCACATGGGCTCCAGAGCATAGGCTTGCAGCTGCCATGCTGTAGTCCTCACTCCTGTGGAGTATAGTTTGGGTGAGTGATACGGTCACACAGTAAGCCAGAGCCAGAGCTGAAGGCCTTGGAGCAGTGCCAGGAATTAACTGGCAGCCGGCAGCTGTGGCTGAAGCTGTGTTCATTGGGTGGTTGGGGGCTCCTCTATGCGAGCTTTGCTGAGTCTTTGGATAGGTGAGCTGCCTTAGTCCATTTGTGCTACTTTAGCAGAATCCTACAGACCGGGTGATTGGTAAAGAATAGACATTTGTTTCTTACACCTCCAGAGACTGGGAAGTCCAAGGCAAAGGCTTCGGTGGGATGGTGTGCTGAGAATGTGGAAGAGCAGGTCCCAGTGAGATGCCTTGCCTATGGGGGCCTAGCCCCATAAGGGGGCAGCCTGTGGCCTGGTCCCCTCTGTGTCTCACATCAACAGCACATTTAGACCATTGCAGTTGTGAAGTGTCCTTTTAAAGTTAAGGGGGAAAAATCCCAGCACTGGGGAGGCTGAGGCCAGCCTGGACTGCAGAGTGAGACCTGTCTCAAAAGCACAAAGCATAGGCATTAACTTCCTACCTAGAACTCCAGTAGCTCAGCAATTAAGAGAAAGGATGGCAAAAGAGAATGTAAAATCTTCTGTGCAGCAAATACTGGAGAGGCAGCCCACAGAACGGGAGAAAATATCTGCCAGCTACATATCTGACAAGGTATTAGTAACCAGAATTTACAGGGAGCTCAAAAAACTAAACTCCCAAAGAGTCAGTGATCTAATGAAGAAATGGACAGATTGACTGAATAGAAATTTCCAGTGGAAGAAATCCAAGTGGCCAAAAAACACATGAAGAAATGCTCACCATCCCTGGTCATAAAGGAAATGCAAATCAAAACCATCCTAAGATTCCACCTCACTCCTGTTAGAATGGCTATCATCAAGAACACCAACAACAACAAATGTTGGCAAGGATACGGGGGAAAAAGGAATCCTTCTGATTGTTGGTGGGAATGTAAGCTAGTACAGCCACTTTGGAAAACAATATGGAGGCTTCTTAAACTAAGCATAGCAATACTATTCATAGGGATATATCTGAAAAAATGTAAGTCAGGATACAATAAAGACACTTGCACACCCATGTTTATTGCAGCATTATTCACAATAGCCAAGCTATAGAAACAGCCCAGATGCCTTACAACTGATAATTGCATTAAGGAAATGTTATACACACATGCACGAATGGAATATTATTCAGCCATAAAGAAGAATGAAATTTTGTTTGTAGATAAATGGATGGAGCTGGAGAATATCATATTAAGCTAAGTAAGCTGGGTTCACAAAGACAAAAGTCACATGTTTTCTCTCATGTGGAAGATAGAGCCAAATAAAAATATAAGCGTTGTCATACAAACACACACAGAACTTTCCAAAAGCAGGACTGTTAGAGGTACTAGGGAGGAGGGAAAGAAGAAGAGAATGATAGTGAAGCACATCACGTCCGTGTAGGAACGAGACACAAAGAAACACGCTGAAACTGCTGAGCAACACAGGTAGGGGAAGGGGATAAGGCAGAGTAATAGAGGGGGTTTGACGGGTTAAAGTGCAATGCATTTACAGTAAAATCCCAAGGCCGAGGCCCACTGAACAACGAGCAGGACTTACACACTGAAGGACAGGACTGCAGGACAGGTCATGTCAAGGGGAGGGCATGAGGGGGAAGGAAGAGGGTACAGGAGGGGGGAGGGGAAGGAAAAGGGTACAGGAGGGGGGAGGGGAAGGAAGAGGGTACAGGAGGGGGAGGAGGGGGGAAGAAAGAGGGTAGGGGGAGGTGATTAAGGTGCTTTCTACACAGGAGTGAATATGGAGCACTGAAACCTGTCAGTCATTCTAAGAAGGGGGAGGGGAAGAGAGAGAAAATGGAGGGGATGAGCCAAACGGGTACATGGTACATTGCATATATGGAAATATCACAGTGAAACCTCTGTACAACTATTATACACTAATAAAGTATTTTAAAAAGTTAGGGAAGAGATTTAAGTAGATTTAGGAAGAGATTAAGTGAACTAACAAGGATTCTTTCTAAAAAGCAATTTATTTTTCTTAGCTAGACAGATTAGTGGAGCCACCTCTCAGCAATGTTCTTTGTTTTAATAGTACGTGCTTTTTAATGGGACCCATGAAGCAGCTGAAGAAAATGTTTGAAACAACAAGATTGCCTGCAACAGTTATTATGCTTGTAAGTAAACAATGTTAGCTTTTAAAAATTTTATTGAAACATTTTTCATTGTTTTACGAATGACTGCCTGCTCATGTGTGTGTTACTAGATTTCTCTTGTTGAATATAGTAAATTATATCAAGGCTGTGTGGTAGAGTTTGGGTGATACAGTGCTGGCTAGATAAACCTGCTTTCTATCGCACGTGCCTGTGATGGTGCTGAGTTTTTATAGTGAAAGTTAGAGCTGGATGTCTTTTCACTCTTAAGCCGCATAACACTGCTCGGTTGTCTGGCCTCTTCGGAGGGTAGGAAGAGAAGTGAGCTGCTACTGAGTCCCTTCCAGTCTTCTCAGGAAGAATTGATGTTACATTGTCATCAGGCTTTCCTATTTGTGTACTTAACAAATAATCCTAACAGTATTATTCTATAAACACCTTTAAGTTGCCCTTCACTGCACAGTGGGTTCTATGCTACTCACAGTCCTCACTCTTTTAAATTAAGTGCTCTCTTCATCTTGAGCTTGGGGTTTGGGGGCAGAAAACTTGCTCTTGAGGTTACAAAGTGTTTTCATTATCACACATCCTGGGTTTTCAGTTGATCAGTTTCCTGTAGGATGAGGAAGGAGCCCCACTCCGCCTCTCCCCACACTGAGCCTATGGTTGTCAATTCACTTGTTCTTCTGCATCTCTTGCACATTTTTTTCCCCTTAAGACATTTGTGATATTTCAAGTATTATCTGATTAGCTTTTTCTTTTAAATACGAACTATTTTCAAACACAACTAATCTATATTAACTTTAAGTACGGAATGTTTAATTGTAACCTGCCTGCCAATCTTCTCCATCTTCTCACCAGAGAAAAACTTTTTGGCTTAATTTTTTTATGTCTTTATTCAACATGAATTTTACTACTACTTTTATAACTCTTCTGGTTATTTTGAGTTTCCTAGATTAGTGTGCACACACACACACAGACACACACACACGTGTATGAACATTTAGCTTTATCTAGATTACTAGGAAATTGTCTTACCTGTTACACTATAAGAAGTTTATATTCCAGCAATATTTTACTTGGATCTGTTTTATTTAGGATGTCTTGGCACTCATCACTAATCCTTTAGTATACTGTACACAAACAAGCATTCCATCACGAGAAGGGTGGAGTGTCAGAAGTGGGACCACAGTTGTTTCTGTGGTGCGCATGCCACAACTGGAGTCACGGTATTCCAGGAGAACATAGTGCTTGGTGCGGTTTGCTCACACAGCTCCTGCCTCATGTTGGCAAGGATGAGCTTCTGCCTGTAGCGACCTCTGTGCTAGCTCTGGCTCACCGTAGCAGAAAATCACAGCCCAGTCCTTCCTTACCACAGCCCTTGAAGCAGTGTGCAGGTCCCTCATGTAAAGAGAGGACAGCTGAGGTCTGGACAGGTGGACAGGCTCCCTAACTGAGCCAAGGCCCCTGAGATTATAGGCTTGGGCCTGGAATCCCATTTGGGTGTTCTTCCTCAAGCTCCTGCCTCTCCCATTTGCCCAGTACCGGCCCTGTGACACAGGTGTAGGTGATCAGACTGTGTGCGTGAAGCACCGTTAGAGCCAATGTGTGGGGCAGGTGCAGGTAATTGCACTACTTGAGCTGGAGCTGTACTTAGGGTGACTGCTGGCACTGTTGCTAGGGAATAGCATCGCATCTGCAAGAACAGCTTTTTGTCATTCAGTCTTCAAATCTCTCACTTCATCAGAAGATTATTTATTAGGTGCTGAATATTCTAATTGTAGACTTTAAAATAAGAGTCTTGGAGTATATAAGTAAACTTACATAGCATCAGCTGCCTCATTGATTTTATTCTCCAGCGTATTATCTGAAGTGAATATAGAATAGTTTGTGCATTTTGAAGAGACTTTTGAAGAATCTCAGGTTTATCATTTACTCTTTCCTTCCCTGTAGCTGTGCTTTGTGCTCACCCTGTGTGCCGCTCTGTGGGTAAGTTCTATCAGCTGCTACTTGTCCCACATCATCTCAAAAAAGCTCACAGTCCAGTTTCATAAAGCCTACCAGAGGTTACACGTCACTAAAACATGACTTGGTGAGATTCAGGTGCTAGATGTGGATAGACACAGGTAATCGTTAAGTGCATACATCTCACTGTGGTCACTACTCTGAGGCGCCTGACGCCTGTGATGGCACCCTGATTGGGGAAAAGCCCTTGCTTGTGTGGTGCCCGTGGCTCAGGAGAAAGCAGCCATGGGGCAGGTGCAGCATTGTCTGACAAGATGCCCAGCCAAAATCAACAAAAACGCAGACGAACCTGAGCTAGTCTTGTACCACCGGTGGATAAGTGACTTCTGCATCCTAGCCTCTGAGGAATTTGCATTGTAACAGTCCAAGCCACTCATTGGTGCTTCTCTGATGCTTCCTTATATTTACTTGTTGTACCCTGCCTGCTTCCCAGAAGGCTTTGAGGCAGTTCCTGAGTTGTCAACAAAAATACACATTTCAAAGAAGAAAGGCAGTGGAAGAACACTCGCCTAGTGTGCCCCAGGCCCTGGGTTCCAACTCCAGCACCACAGAAAAAGGGGAGGAGCACAGTGTATCACAGCTTAGAAATATTCTACCACAAATATTGTGGTTTTCTATTTTGATGATGTAGTTTTATGACATTATGTAGACCTCATTTCCTCATGCTGACCTAAAAGAATATTCTTAAAAATGTTTGTACATTCCTACGGAATGTTGATCTCAGCTTTGGAATGTTCTAGAACTCAACACTAAGAATAAAGACGTGCACAATAAAATGTCACGGTGGAGCTGGGGGCGGCTCAGTGGTGGCACCTGGCTGGCGTGTGCACGGCCTGGGTTTGATCCCCAGCACATGGAGGAAGGAAAAGAGAATTCTTAAATCCTTGTAAAGCAGCTGTCGAGTTCTTATATTATTCCAGAACGTCATGGTGATGCCCAGTTTTCCTTTAGACCAGCAGTGGGGAACCTGTAAGGAACTGCCACGTGGGAATGGATCTAAGGGCTTTAAACGATGATTGTGGAAAAGTTTACATGACTCAAAGCATCTAACCTTTATGAGTAATAATTTTCAGTGTCATGCATTTTGTGTTTTTGTTTTTCAGTGTCATGTATTCTGAAGTATTTTATAAAGACAGTTTTTGAAAGGAAATGTACTTCCTGTATATTTAAGTTTCTTAAATGTATCAAACTAAAATTTAACAATGGAAATAAATGGACACTGAAAGACAAGAATGTAATTACAGAAAGTATTTTTTAAAATTCTGATTTACTCTTTCTTTGTTTTGCTGCTGTTAGTGGAAGAAAAAGGTGCTGGCCTTGTTATTCTGCATATTACAGTTCCTGTCAATGACCTGGCAAGTCTTTCCCTAAACCGTTTAACTCTTAAAATGTCCTGGGATGTAATAACACATTTTCTTGGAACCTGTGAAGCCCTGTAAATGGGGGGGTGGGAGCAACCTCCTGCGAGGCCAGGTGACAGGAGGTCTGGGGTGAGTCCTGATCTGGACAGTGTCCTCAGTGGAGGTGGGATGCTCCAGGGCTGGCTGAGGCATGGTGCAAAGAGGAATAAGATGTAGGCGAAGCCAAGTGAATTCATAAAGCTGGAATTCGCTCTACTGTGGGCTGTGTGGCCCTGTGATGTCTGGACAGGTTCTCAGGGTGGGCAGTAATGGCATGCTGGCTAAGCACTGTTTTCAGGCTCTCTTCTGTCTGCAGTTTCTTCTCCCTTTTCTCAGCACCTGTGTGTCCTTCTTTCTGATCAGACTCCCTGTTCCTTACAGCCACATCTGTGTGGCTGGCTGGCATCTAGTCCCCCTGCATAGAAAGCCCTGGTGTCTGCCTGATTGACTGTCCTGAGCACCGGCCCCTCCCTATAGACCATGAAATGTGTTGCTGTTCTCAGAGCTGCATCTGGCTTGCCACTTCCTAATGGCCAGGTTTTCCTGTCACCCCACCTGGCTTTGCCTGGGCTCAGTTCTTTTGGCCTCATTCCTGCCTTTCCACTGCTATTTGTTGTCCTATCAACAAATGTTAAATGTAGCTCTGTACGTATTTCAAACTCACCACATAATGTTTTTTGACTCTAGTTCATTGAAATCTGAAATTTAAATTGCATCACTTGGTTATTTTCTCTAATAATTTATCTTTTACTATCTAATGTATATCCAACTATTGACTTATCCCTAAAAGAAAATACAGTTATTCTCAATTATTTTTAGTTTCTGCTTTAAAAATACAATTTATAGCTTGGGACTGTGGCTTAAGTGGTAGAGTACTTGCCTAGCATATGTGAGACCCTCGATTCAATCTCCAATACCACAAAATAATAATAATCTAATATAGTAATTATTTTATTATAAAAAGCTCAAAGTTTAGTATGCATCAGAATAACAGAGAGTTTGTTAAAATATAGATTGCTGGGCTGGGATGTGGCTTGGTAGTAGAGTGCTTGCTTAGCTTCACAAGTCCCTGGTAGGTTCAATTCCCATCACAGCAAAAACAAACTAAATTGCTTAATAAAATAGTCTTACGATGCAGGAGGTCTGCAGCTTAACAGTTTCCCAGTGATGCCATTGCCTGTAGTGTGGGGTCACACTTTGAGAACAGCCGTGTGATATTCTGCAGGTGTGTCAGGACAGTGCTTGACATAGCCACTAGGAATAAAGGGAGCCGTGCTGAGCAGGTGTAACATGCTTGATGGTTTCTTGCAGGTACAGTCTGTCGTACATTCCCTATGCAAGGTGAGCCATTTGAATTCCATCTTAATTCTGGTCCTTTAATCATCTTTATACAAATACATGAATGTAAGTAATTTTTACATTAAACCATATGAGGCTTTCGATTGGCTTTGACTTCTTAAAGGAAGTACTTTTTGCATGAGGTGAAAGAAGCTTGCCATGTAAGTAGCCAGTGTAAACAGGCTGCACGGGTGAGGTAGGCTGGGCCTTCCTCCTCCTGCCTGCCATGTGAGCATTTGCAGTTAGGGGTTTGACAGGCCCTGGAGCCTGCTGTGGCTGTCATGTTTGATAATAGGACACAGACTCCCAGCATCACAAGTTCTGCTTTCAAAAAAAACGGGGAGGGGGTTTACTGGGAAAATGAGGTGTGATACATAAATGTTTTTAGCCGGCAGAAACCTATGTAGTCTGTATGTTGAGTTGAGAGGTAAGTGACATTTTCTTATGCTCTTCCAGAGAAAGGTATTTAGTTGTGGAGGAAAGACAAAATTTAATTCCAATCTTAAACCTGACAGATTGGGAGAAGATTCTTGTGAGGCATGGCTTTGCTTCTTTGTGAAATTTGGAGATGTGTTGTATATTTAAAAACCCAGTAGAATTGTATGCCTAATTAAGAACAATGAAGAAAATTGGTAGAAACCTTTTTATTTTATTCCTCCTCATAGTTCCTTTTAGTGAACACTTAAAGGAGAAAAAGCCAAACAGAATGAACTACAGATGAGGAAGCTGTAGACAGCATTTGCAGAGGTGATTCACTATACTATAGCAGCTTAGCTAGGAGCCCTCCAATACTTCCCCCTGTGGAGGAAAGGCCAGTGGGACCTGATATCCAATGGGAAACTCCACGATGTGTCACTGCTTCTGGAAAATGACCCACCTTTTCCAGTTTAGACTCTTACCCTGAAGAACGACAACCAGTGTGCCATGATAAGCAGTTTGCTTTTAAAATCTAGTTCATCCTCTGCTTCCTGCTCCACCACACTCCCCCACCATGATGTTCTGCCTCACCATGGGCCCAAAAGCAACATGGCCGGCTGACCCTGGACCAAAAGTTCTTTTACCAGTGCCTCCCCTTGGCCAAATCCAACACAGAACGGAATAGGGGAAGGGCCAGAGCCAAAATCTGTATTCAAACTGGCAAATGAAAGGCACAAAGACTGGAATAGCATGTGAGAGAGAACACATGTAGACCGTGTCTGGTTTACTTTGCTGGACATACGCTCTCTAATTCCATTTTTCTGCAAATGACATTGACAGGCACTTGGCTGATTCTGTGACTCAGCTCTTGTGAGTAGTGTCATAATAAACAGTGTATGTGGGTAAAAAAAAAATCATTTCATTGACTCTTTTCTAAAATTCTTTTGTTAGGTTGTTTTTGGTATTTGCATTTATTTCTTGGTATTAAGATCAGCATATTTGCTGGTAAAGATTTCCTAAGATAACTATCCTTTCAAAAATTAGCAACCCTTGATTTTAAGTGCTGTCAGAAGCATGGAGCGTCCGGACCCCACTGTGAGAAGGGGCCGTCCTTGGCAGGACCATTGTGCAGTTTGCATTCGTGGAGCATGACTGTGCTTTGCTCTCCTCCCTGTCTTCCCAGGGACGCAGTAATCAAGTGCTGCTCTTCTCTCCTGAGCTGAGGGTCCCGAAGGGCTCATGGAAAGGAGCATTGGGGTACCGCTGGTCTGTCTGTGGAGTCAGCTGCTCCTTGTGGAACCATCACTCCAGAGGTGGCCGCAGTGACATCTCAGACCGTGTCACATGTTGGTAAAGCCACACTTGATTCAGCTAATAACGCTTGTAGCCTTAGATTTGTCATGTGACATTAATCTGTTTCCAAAGATAAGGAGATTTGTAATCATTGCCAGTTGTAAGTAATTTTACCCAGTTGTTTAATCTTTTCAAAACAGCTTTCGAAATGTAAATATTTAAGGGTAAATCTGTGTTGTGAGATACATTCAGCTTATTTGCTTTTTTTTAAATGTCTGCATTTTTAGAGTATCTTTTTTTTAACTTTTAAAAATGTGAAACTTTATACTTTAAAATTAAAATTGCTTATTACATATAATAAAAATAATATATATCTTTACAATTTTGAAATAAATCCACCCTTGGAAAAACAGCTCTTTTGCATTGGATTTTTAATATCTTAAGCAGTTCAATTTTGTTTTTGTGTGGTTTTTTTTTTTTTTTTTTTTACAGTACTGGGGTTTGAACTCAGGGCCTCATGCTTGCTAGGTAGGCACGCTACCACTTGAGTCACTCAGCCAGCACTATTTTGTGTTGAGTGTTTTTGAGATAAGTTTTCACAAACTATTTGCCTGGGCTGGCTTCAAACTGATATCATCCTGATCTCTGCTTCCTGAATAGCTAAGATCGCAGGTGTTAGCCACCGGTGCCCAGCACTAAGCAGTTTAATTTAATAAAATTTAGTTTAGGTACTTCATAGTCTTCTATAGAAAAATGAGTAAGATGCAAAGATGCAGGCTCCATACTAAGCAATAGCACAAGGACAGTGTGGGAAAGGTAACAACTGAAAACCAAGCACCATCCTGATCTAGGGAGGGAGGTGAGAGGTGCTGGTGAGAAAATAGTCAGGTGACCTACATGCTATCAGGGACAGGAAGCTGCCTGCACCCTGGGATGGGGACCCTAGAGGAGGGGGTGTTAACTACTCATAGCCTGGGAGATGACCCTGGAGGGGCAGCGGAGATGGGTTGAGCAATATCCCAGTGTCCCTCAGGTATCCATGTGCAACCCTATAGTCAGTGGCAACAGGAATGCATTTGCAGGGAAGGAGTGAGTAAGCAAATGCCAGTGTGGTTAAGCAGTGCAAAGTCCTGTCTTGGGTGGTATGACAAGAGCTACTGGGGAAAGAGCCTCCAGAGGGTGGGAGAAGAAGGGCTTGGTGTGGTTAGGCTAGGAATAAGGTGGACAGCAGGCAGGCTATCATGGAGATGAGTCCATGCAGGGCAGGATAGGAGATGGCTGGAGTCTTGTGGGGAGTTCACGTAGTTTGGTATCACCAAAGTACAAAAGTGGTGGGAGGGGAAGGATGGCCAGGGTCCAATCTCATGACTTGTGACGTCAGAAGTCTGCTGGTCAATGCCCTCCTCCATTGACAAGGAGAATGTTTTTGGGCGTTCACAAGTACACGCTTGCCCTTGGTGCCAGGAGAGAATACCACAGATGTCTCAGCCTCAGAAAGATCTAGGTGACACAGTAAGTGTGACAACCATGGCTACAGAGGTACCACAGGGTATCGTGGGGTGTAGAGCACAGCTTAGCAGCTGCAGGTGAGACAACAAGAGGAAGAGGCTGGCCTGGAAAAACCAAGGCCAGCGAAGGCAGAGTGCAGGTCTATGACAGGAGTTAGCAAAACAGGAGCTTAGCTCTCAGAACAGACTGGGGAAGGGCAGTCACATGCAGTGCTCCTGTGGAGACCTGGCTGTTGTCTTGGTCCTGCTGAGGTCTTGCTCTTCCAGCCAGGGTCTGCAAGAGGCACATCTGGCTCCTGCCCTCCACTGTGCTCTGTTGCATCTCTGAATCCTTTTGTCATGCTTTTCTGTCTCTTGGCTCACTGCAGGAACACTGAGCTGGAAAGAAAGCAGAACTGGGAACCCTCAGAGAAATGTCTTTTTGGTTTTGTTTCTGTCCAGATAGACTTTAAAATTCAAATGCTGTCTGCTTGCCTTACACCCTGCCTTGGCTGGGTTTAGCCTAGCCAAAGAAAGGGGGCTTTTAGGAATTTGTGAATGAAGCAAGGATTAACTGGAAAACCTGAAATCCAAGCAGCCCAGCTGGCGGACACTGGGGTTCTTCCTGAGCAAAAGTCATACGGGAAATGGAGGACAGATTGGGGGCCACTGTCCGAGGTACAGTTTGGTTCTCAGCAGCCTGGAGTGTGCTCTGTGTTGCTGCAGGAGGGTCTCAGGACAGAACAAGGAGCAGTTTTGGGTAAAGGTGCTCACCATCAGGTGCAGTATGGCCTCCTGATTGAGAAGTGGGTTCCTATGTCCATGCAGGTGGTGAAGAGACGAATGGAAGGTGGACAGGGTGGCGCTTACTGAAAGCTTTGAGCTTCTCTGTGGAGATGACCCCCTCAGTGCTGGGCAAGACAGTAACAGCTGTGCTAGGCCTGTGTAGGCATCAGAAGACCTGGAGGACATTGCTGCACAGGACTAAAGATGGGTGAACACAGCCCCGCCCCAGGTCTGGGATATGTGTGCTTAGAAAATGGTGTACTCTGGCATCTGCGTGCATGTGCAGGGTGACTAGTGTCTGGTGGATCCCCGGCACAGTCGGTGTTTGCATGCAGATCCAGTTGTCTCTGCCCCATCTCCACCTTGCAGGGTGAGGAGGGGTACGTACAGGGAGGGGGGGCGGGGGGGCGGGTGAATGGACCACCATGGGAAGGAGTGTGAGACAGGCTGCATTTGTATTTTCAACCAAGTGGATATGTAGGGTTGGCTGCAGCCTGTGCCAGAATGTCCTGGGCGGAGCTATTTTAGTGTGAAAGTTACTAGTCAGTCTCTCTTGATCAGCCAGAGAACTCCCCACGACTTAGTTCCCGCATAATCCTTCAGGATGGGGCCCCAGGAAAAGGTCTGTGGCCATGGTGAGCTCTGGCCTCAGAACATCAGTCAGGCCTTAGCATGACTGCACTGTCTGTCCCCACCCTACTTGTTCTCGGCCCACCGTGCCCTCTCCTTGCTTTGTAGCTAGCTCCTCAGCTGGTCGGCAGCACGGACAGGTGCTAGTCACATGGTAGTGTGTCCCAGGACCGTGTCTGCCAGTCACCTGAGATCAGTGCACGTGAGAGCAGGGAGCATCCCTGAGAAGAATTCATGCTCGGCCCACGATGGGTCCATGCATAGGCTCTGGGGGGCATCATGACCTTTACCCCCCATAGTACAGTGGACCCTTGGTTCCAAGGAGGCCACTGTGGAGGGAAAACAGTGCTCAGGGTGTGTAGAGTGCAGTGCTGTCCTGCGGAGGCTTGGTTCATTTTTCCATAACGCCATTCAAACTTCTATTAAAGACATGGAAATTTAAAATTTTCATTTTATCACTTAAATTGAGTACACAACTTTTACCTGACTTTTTAGGAGGCATATTTTCACAAAACAGAGGTCAGGGAAACACTCAGCAGATGACAGGACAATTTTACACAACTGACAACGGGATTGACTGGAGAGTGCAGGAATTTAAAATTTTTGTTTTTGAAATTTTTTTTTTTGACAGCATGTGGTCAAAACCATGTGTAATAAATCTGCAGATAAGACAGGCTTTCTGTATTTCTGTATGCAACATTCTGTATTTCTGTGTTTACTATTCCATTGCCTTTCCAAGGTGCTGGGGGATCCTCGTGGTGTGCAAGGTGACTGGCATGAGCCCCTGAGACCTGAGGTGCGTCTGGCTATTGGCTGCAGCAGCAGTCCAAGGAAGGGTAGCTGGCTCCCAGGCAGGTGGCCCTCACTAGAATCGCAGCAGCCACCACCATGTAAGCATCTGAAAAGGGGGAGGGGCGGCTCCATGCTGTGCCAGCTTGGATCAGCACTCCACTCAGCCTGTTTCCTCATCTCAAAAAAGGTTTTATGTGTGGTTGGACTAGTGACTCCACAGGACGGCTGGGAGGAGTCAGCGGGCAGTGCCTGGCATGTAGCATTCAGTAGATAGGCCACAAAGGAAGGGTGTGGGCATCTGCTGGAGGAGCTGCAGTCCAACACAGAGGAAGGGCCTTTACACACCTCGAGACCAGGATGTGTTGAATTCATGCCACAGTGCTACCAAGGAAGCCACGAGGGAGAAAGTATGTCTAGGGCCGGGTCTCAGAGTCAGTGGTGTGGGCCACTCTGCCTGGCCCTGACAGGGTGAGGTTTTCACAGTGCCATACTGGTGACAGATGACAGCCATCCTGACTGGGCTGTAGCAGCCTCTCAGATCCTGGGGGTCTGAGAGGTCTGTGTGCTGTGACCCAGGTAACCTATGGGAACTCGGATTTCCAGCGGGGGTGGTGGGTGGGGAGTGGGAGGCATCTCGGGGAGCAACCAGTGCCAGAGGGAGGGGCAGAGGCAGAGAGACAGCTAACGTTTCTGTTGGCATGCCAGATCCCCAACATGGACTTCACCCTCCTCTTCCCTTAAACACTGATTAAATCATCTCTCAAAGTGTGAAACTACCTATGGAAACGCTCCTGAGGTCATTTAAGGCTGCAGCATGCTTGCTTGTACAATGTTTCTGCAAAACTGTCATTGAATTTTCCCAGCTCCCTTGAGAACCAAGTGCACACCATGGTCAGCACAGTGTGGCAGGATGGTTGACAGCATCAGTGCACTCTCCATCCCACCTGCTTCTCTCAGTATCCCCCACCCAGAGTCATGTCCTACAGGTACCACCATCTCTAGCTTTCAGGTGAACTATTTAAGGAACAGCTTAAAATCAGATGCTTTTGTGGGGAATGAGGAGCCAGTTAAACTCCCAACCTTGTGGGGAAAGTGTTTGTGTTTGATGTAATAGAATGAATGGAAACTGCCAGGGAATTGGGATAGTTGATTAGCTTATCCTGTCTAAAATTCAGGTTTAGATCTGGGCACAGTGGCTGGTGTATGTAATCCTGGCTATTCAGGAGGCAGACGTGGTGAGGATTGATGTTCAAGGCCAGCCAGAGCAAAAATTTTGAGACCCCCATCTCAACTAGTAAAAGCTGTGTGTGGTGGTGTGCACCTGTCTTCCCAGCTACACAGAAAACATAAATAGGAGGATCACAGTCTAGAATGAAAAAGGCATAAAAGCAAGACACTATTCGAAAAATAACTAAAGCAAAAAGGGCTTGGAGGTGTGGCTGAAGTGGTAGAGAGCCTGCCCAGCAAGTGCAAAGACCTGAGTGAGTTTGCAAAAAAAAAAAAAAAAAAAAGAAGAAGAAAGAAAAGGAAGGAAAAAAAGAAAAAATTCTGGTTCAGCTTTAGGTTAGATGTTTGAGTACTTATTGCTGTATCAAGTGTAATTATTTAGATCAAAATACAGAACAAAGTGTGGGGTATGGGATGAGGAGATAATTAGAAAAACACCAGAAAATATGAGAAATGTTTACCGTTTTGAAGTTTCTCTGAAAGTACATGTATTATGTGCCTGGCGAAACCAAGGAATTGAGCTAATGAGAACAAAGTTCAACATTTTCTAGAATAATGACCAACCTCCTGGTCTTCTAATCTGATTGCCGGCCCTGGTCTTATTCACTGGCAAACAAATCAAGCACCCTGGTGTGCTCATGCTGCTGCATGAGCAGGCGTCCACCATGGATGGTTCCTGTAATCCAGGCCCAGGGCTGGACAGGGGCCTCCCACGCGCCCCGGTGACTCTCAGCTCAGGCAATTCACATCTGTGGAGCTGTAGCCCTCTGATGCTGTGTGGGCCTGGGTGTAATCTTCCTGATTATTTAGTGATTGAAATATTGTCTGTGAACGTTTTGTTCATTCTGGAAATGTCTTTAGGGCTGTTGTAATGAAAAGTCTTTGTGCTAACAGACTTACTCTGATGGGATAATGGGGGGATCATGCTAATTCCTGAAGTGATAATTGTTACATTTGAAATTACAAAGTCAGATTTAATTTGAAAATTACTGACATAATGAAAAACGTGCCCAGTTCTAAACGTATCACTTAGTTTTGCTTATCGGCCTTTCCAATTAGCCAGCTTATCTGTGGTGGGAAATGTAATGCCCTTGGGACGAAATGTAACCGTGTGTAGCCAGGCGAACCCCAAGCTGTGGTTGTGAACAGATAGGCTGGGCTGCCCCGAGTATTCAGGACTTGAATTTCACTGTCGGTACACAAACCCTTGCCACTGTGCTCTGGGTATGTTAGGAAAATCCCATTTAGATTAGAAGTTAAGTTTGACTGTATTTGTTGACTGTAATCACTTTTCTGTGTGTCACCTGTTGTGAGATCAATTTTTGGTCACCTTCTCTTGGTGTGACTTGGCAGGTCCACATCTTTTGCTGTAACTGTCACTCCGAAGGGTGTGGAGCATCCCAGCTTCTGGTCTGATAGTCTTTCTCTTCTTGATTATCCATCCCAAATGTCTTGCTTTGGGGCTGGGGTTCTCTCAGCCCAGTCCCCTGCCAGCAGACTCTTCCTTCTCCTTAATAGTCCAGTCTGGCTTTGGACTTGCACCTGGGGTTGTCTCACCTCTGACACCCCATTAGAGCTGGGTGATGCCGGGCAGGTGATGTACCTCTGAAAGCCCTGGTTTCCTTGTACAATGGACAGAGTAGTGAGAGTTCGGAGTCCTTGGCACATGGCCTTTCATCCGTATGTTAGCTCTTACCATTGAGACCAGCCACCCCACGTCTGTCCCTTACCTCAGTCCACTGTCACTTTGAAGCATCCTGACTTAGGACAGACACTAGGCACTCACTGTCACTGATGCCAGCACAGCTTTTGAACTACTGGATCCACACATGACGTGCAGGTGTCCAGCTGTTGGCTGGTTTTCCTCCATAGTCTGCCTCTCCTGCTGTACCCACAGAGATGGTGTCTGCCCCCTGCCCCCTAGTCCTCTGCTGATACAGGTCTGTCAGCCCATGCCTCTGCGTACACATTTATTCCCACACCCACGCTGAAACTAAAACCTGGAATAAAACTCGTGTGCTTTCATTCCACCCTGATCTGAGGTGGACTGTGCCAGCTGTCTGAGCCCACAAGTGGAGGCTGGCCACCTAGAGACCCCCACAGGGATGGAGGGCAGTTGTGAGTAGGAGACCTGTCTTGGCACAGCTCGTGGAGAATGCAAATGTGGTGGTTTGGAAGATTCTGGTGGCTTTTGTGGTACCTAAATCAACTTGTGGTAGCTCTGGCAAGAAACGTTCCCACCACCCATGCTTCCCTGACTGCCCTGTGCCCAGAGCCTCCATCTGCTGCTCTGCAGGGCTAGGGGGCCCAGTGACTGTCCAGATGGACACATCAAGTCCCCCTCATCTGCCTGTGCACTGAGCCATCACAACCTGATCCAGTAGGCAGTTTGCCCAAGAAAGCAAACCTGACAGCATTCTTTTATATCTAGGCAATTAATTATTCTTTAGAAATACAGGGGCTGCTCCTGGCGTTTTGGTGCATTGCTTCTAATTGTTGCGTTATTGATGTTTTCAACAAACGTGAATATTGTAAGAATGTCCTCTTGCTCTGTAACCAGAATATAAACTGAGGACAAAGACTTGTTTCATCCATTTTGAATCACTGCTGTAGTGATAAACATACTGCTTTGTTTAATCATCACTCAATAAAACAGCTTAATGCCTAATATTTCCTGCCATGATTATGTAACACACCGTTTTGCCCATTCACATAATGAAAATTAAGTTTTAATTTTAAAATAGCTCTTTAAGGAGTGGCAGCAACAGTGTGTACGAGTGAAACCATGGTTACTGTTCAACGCTCCCCGCTCCAGTCTTGCCAGCCTTCACTGCGATTCCACAATGTGGAGTCCGCACAGCCAGGTGGCCTCGATTCCTTTCCCACCATCTTAAAGCATTTTCTCTCCAGCGCGCAGGGTCTCCAGCGATGGCTGCACCATCCGGGCGCCCTACCTGCTCCCCGCCTCTGATGGACTTCACCTTCGGCCAGTGGAAGACACGCGGGGGAGCGCGGGGGCGCCGCACGCCAGCTCCCCGCCCCCGCCGCCCTCCGGCACTTTGTCCCCGGCATTCAACAGTCGGTCGCGACACCAGCGGGGCAGGCGCAGCCCAGGACTTGGAAGCCGCGACCTCCGCGAGCGCGCCCGGCTCCTCCTCCCCCGCGCCCAGCCCCGCGCGTCTCGGTGCTGCGGCCCGGGCGGTGCCGGGACTCGCGCGCGGTCGGGCGGCGGTGGCGGTGCCCGCAGGGTCCGTCCGGGACACGCAGTCCGGGGGAGCCCGGCCGCACGGGAGCGAAGGGGAGGGGGCGCCTTCGCTGGGGCCCCGGCTGTGAGGAGCGGGAGATGCGGTGACGGGCCGCAGGTGGGTGTGGAGGGCGCGCGGGTCCGCTCGGCCACAGATGGGGCGGGCGCGGGGACTAAGACCCGCCCTTCTCCTTCCAGGGGACTGACGATCCGTCCGCTCGGCGGCATCACGCCTTTCCCGCCGATGCCGCCGCCGCCACCGCCGCCCGCCCGGGCTCCGGGGGTCCCAGCCGCGCGCCAGCTGCCCCGGAGGTCCTGCGCGCCGCCCGCGCCCTCGCCGCCCGCCGCGGCCGGGGAGAAGAAGAAGAGGCCCCCCGAGAGGCCCGAGGTGCCGCTCTCCAGCTCCTGGCCCTCGGCCACCCTGAAGAGGCCGCCGGCTCGGCGCGGCCCGGACCCCAGCCCTGTCCCCGGCAGGACGCAGCCGCCGGCCCCTGCGCGCGCCCCGCACCAGGCTTCGCCGGGCCGTGCGGGGGTCCCGGCCACGTGCGCCACGCCCCGGCGAGCCGGCCCCGGCCACAGCCCTGCGGGGGCCACCTTCGCGGGGACCTCCGCGGGGGCGGAGGCCGAGCCCGACGACGCCATGCGCTTCTCCTTGAGCCTCACCCCCGAGGCCATCCTGGTCATCCAGAGGCGCCACCTGGAGAAGCAGCTGCTGGCGCGGCCCCGCAGGCCCTTCCCTTCGCCCTTGGCCGACCCCCGGCGCCCGCTGGCCCCCTGTCCCCGAGCCAGAGCCGCAGGCTTGCGGAGGGGCTGCGCCACCAGCGCTCCCGACGCGCTCCCGGACGCGGGCCTCGCCCGCCGCCCGCTACCCCGCGTCCAGCTGCTGCCCGGGGGCCTGCAGGCCGCCACGCCAGGGCCGCGGCCCGCCGACCTGCGTCCGGTGCTCAAGGTGTCGCTACTCAACGAGCGGCACAAGTACGACGACGTGGAGTACGAGGAGGAGGCCGAGGTGCTGGACGAGGGCCTGGTGCGCAAGTGCACCGAGTGGCTGCGTGGCGTGGAGTCGGCGGCCGCCGCGCGGGACCGCACCGGGCACCTAGACTCGCTGCCACACCTGAGCACCCTGTGAGCTGTGAGCCAGGTGCACCTGCAAGGGACAGGACCTCCTCCTGGACGCCTGCCCCAGGTGGGTGCGCTTATGGGAGACCCACAGCCTCCTCTGAAGTCCATCACCCACGTCCTGGGCACCTGTGAGCTACGTAGGCCTGCGCGGGACACAGACGCACCGTCGCCCACCTCCTGCCCACACTGCTCCGCTGCTGGGCAGGCTAAGGCGTCTCTCTCCCATGCTGAAGTCTCCACCCAGAAGTCCACCTCTGTGCCAGCTGGCCTCTTAGCACCCTCAGAGATCCTTAGGGTCATGGGAGGAGGCGGCTGTGAAGATGCCTTCCTGCCCCCACCGAGGGTGTTTAGAGTCCCTCTGTTCAAGGGGCCTGACCTACGGCCACACCCCCTCCTGCTGGTTTCACTCTGCAGTGAGCAGAGGTGACCTCCAGGAAGGTAGGTGGCCCAGAGGTTGGCTTCTGTCGCAGAGTTAGGATGTGGTGCTACATTTATGATTTTGACCTCTCCCAGGTCAGAAAATTGCTGGGGCAAGTTCACTAGTTTTCAGTCTCCAACATCCTAGTGGCCTCGTGGTCACCACAGGGGGATCTTGGCGGATCCGTGCTGTGTGCTCACATGTCCACACCCAGGCGCGCGCACACACGCACTGCATATGTGCACAGGTACGCTAACAGCCCATGCATCTGTGTGCATGCGCGCACACAATCACCTACCGTGCGCAGCACCCAGGTACACAATCACACATGCGTAACCGCTCTCTCACGCACGCTCACACTCACACACGCATCTTCTGAAGCACAATGTGAAGATTGTTTTCAACACCTGGCTCAAAGCAGGGGAGGAAGGAGGGTTGGCTTTTGTTAAAAGTGTGGTGTTTACTGAGGGCTCCTGCAGGGGCTCCTGCACTAGATAGGACAGTCACGATGGGAAGGATGTGTGGGACAGCTCTGGCTGCAGGAGCAGTTCAACGGAGGGGAAACCAGGAAGTCCTGAGGGTGAGGGGAGGTTCAGATAGGTTTTTAGTGTCTAATCACTGTGAAAATCAGTGACATGTGGCTTTGTATGTTTGTAAATAGTGACTTTTAAAACTCAATTTATTATTTGAATAAATGTTAAAACTCCTTTGCCTCTTAGTAGCCATGCCCTGCCCACTAACTGGCGGCTGATTTCTAGATTTTTCTTCCATGCCTATCAGTGGATTTAATCCTAAGCATGAGAAGGAAATAAAATGTTTTAATCACATAAGACTGGCTATAGAAGAGTAATACATTACCTCAATTTTTTACTTATTTTATAAAACTCTAACCAATTTAATGTTTATCTTGTTAGACTTTGATGTGTCAAGTCTTAATTATATTTTAAATTGAAGCCTTACATTTTTAAAACCAATTTTATACTTTTCTTGTGGCGATCTTTGCTCTGATCTCAATGTTTTCTCCCTCACATTCTAGGCACAAGCCTTTAGTCCAGCAGCAGCTCCATCAGACACCAGATGAGTTGCGAAAACAAAAGTAACTCCTCTTTTCTGATCCCTGTTTGAAAGCTGGGAAAATAGATTTTCTTTTACTTAAAATAGTTAACACCAGCCAGGCACAATTAGCAGTGCTGCTGGAGTAAACTGGAGGCATCTGTTTCTGTAGCTATTCCCACCCCTGACCATGAACTCCGGCTGCCCGTGGAGCACAGCAGGGCTTGCCTGGGGGTGGGACAGGTGGACACAAACAACTTGGTCTCACCTGCATCCAGTAACCTCTGCCCTTGGTTGTGGTAACAGTAGTCGTGGGGAGGCTTTCCTGGTGGCCAGCTCTGCCAAGCAGCTTTCTGCCTCTTTGTCTGTCCATCTGTCCCAGTCTGTGTCTGTTTTGATCTTTCCTCTCATCCTCCGGCTAGCCTCATGGCACCACAGGAAGCTAAGCACATTCTTCCAGATTGTATTGTTCACTTTGGAGATGAGGGGACCTTTTTTGTTGCCCTGGTTAGTGACCTGCAGTAAGAAACAGGTCTGCACATGACACTTGGGTGTCTTCATTGCTGTTGCTGATATTTTGAGAACACTTTGTAAGTCACTCTACTACGATTTCTTACTATTTAAATAAAAGAGAAATGTGATGACTTGTGTTTCTTCTTGGGGAGGATATTGAAAACAGATCAGAAAGAGATCGTTGGAGGTATCAAATTCCTATGGGATGGTCTCTCCACAGGGGCCCTGGGTCTTCCTGGGATTGGCAAAGACCACGTGGTTTTAATCACTACTAGGTTTTGAAGAATTATGATAAATTCTAGTGACAAGAGTGTTGGCTTTGTCATTGCTGTGCCAGAATGCCTGGTGTAAATGACATAAAAGGAGGAACTCTTCGTTGAGCTCATGGTTTCATTCCATCATGGTAGGTGAGGCAGGGAGAGCAGTTCACACACATCATGGCAGACAGGAAGCAGAGAGAGGGTAAGGGCCAAGTCGGTCCCCCCATGATGCCCTCCCTGAGGCTAGGCCCCACCTCCTCAAGTTTCCACCACCTCCCAAAACAGCACCAGCAGCTGGGGACCAAGTGGTCAACACTCGAGCCTGTCGCGAATATCGCACGTCCAGGCCAGAATAAGACTATTTGACCTTGGCACTTAAACTTCTGAGGGAATGTGAGTTCTCACAGAGCTGATTCCAAATACACTGCTAAAAACGAGTACCGCAGAACAAGGAGAAGTGCTTCTGATTCCTGTATGCTTTAGGAACTGGGGACCCCAGATGAACTCCTGTAAACACTCACTAGAATGTTTTGCTTTTGCCTGAAATGGTTCTAAACTGGCCAGGCATGCTAATCAGAAGTTACAGGGTCCATTTAAATAATGGCCATGACTACCAGATTGCCAAAAAAGTGGGAATGTCACTTAATAAATGTGATTTGCTTACTCATCCATTTATTTATTTATTTACTTATTTCAAGGTACCAGGGATTGAACTCAGGACCTCATTCCACCACGCGAGCCACACTCCTGAGCCTTGTGCTTTTAGCTTGCTTTTCACATAGATTTTGTGCCAAGTTTTCTCAGGCTTGCCTGGAACTGTGATCCTCCTACCTCCAACTCCTGAGTAGCTGGGATTGCAGGTGTATACCACCACTCCCTGTCCCATGCAATTTGGCTTTAAATCTTTTGAGTTCCTATAAAAAAAAACAAATGAAAGGGTCCCCAGAAGAAAGATTGGAAACCATTTTCTCTGTGTGTCATATATATAAGTGATGGCAGTGTTGTCAGATTCATCCATAACTGTACTATCCCCTAGCAAGGAGTGAGGTTGACTCCCATCCCAGAGTGGAGCCTCAAATGTGAGGTTAGGGGACAATCGTGTCTGCATTACGTGCATGTCAGTTCCAGAGGCTCACCATGTCGGACCCAATTCTGCTTCCTTCCAGAATAGCTGACAATGCAAGGTAGATATTCGCAGAATGTCAGGGCCTTTAGTTTTGTGGTTCTCCTCTGTTCAGCTTAGGATCGGTGATCTGTAGGTCTGGGTATATGAAACTTACTCTGAGACTGTAATTTTGTACCTTTGCTATTTTAGCCAATTGTGGTTATTGTTCAAAGGAAGTCGTAAAGCCATAGGCTGTAACACAGCAAAAGTTGCTCCTTGCATTAACAAATGCGTGCCTTTGTGACCTGTGGGAAGTCTGGCACACCATAGTTCAGACCAGTGCTGCTTCTGTCCATCTACTGATGGCAAGAGGGGCTGCTGCCTCCGTGGTCTGGGAGGGTGGTGGCCCTACGGTCCAGTGTAGAGACTGAGCCTTTCCCAGCAGGGCACCTAGAAAGCACCACACAGAAGGAAAGTGGGCTTGGGAGCCCTGCCTGGAGGCCGGAATTGATTCTGATGAAGCTGTCATTTGTCAGCTGTTTCTTATTGAACTGGGTCTTTGTTCCCTCTTCTGTTTACTGGGGCTGACCGAACATTGGTGGTCTTGGCAAGGATTGCCATGGGGTAGAGTGCAGGCTCTTGGGATGGTGTCTGCCTGTCACCCAGTTCATAGTCAACCCTGAAGTTCTCACTACGTCAAAAAAAAAAAAAATTCTTCGCTACTCAAAAAACATCACCTTCTGGCATTCCCCTGTGCAAATCTAATGTTTTTCCCTCTCTACGTAATGCACACCTTTGGTTGGGTTTCCCTGTTATTTCCCTGAGGGGTTAAAAAATAAAAATGTCTGTTGTCTGGGGAGAGTACTGGAGAGCGCTTAGCATTTTCCAGGCTCAGGGTTTGATTTCCAGCACTGCCCAAAAAAAAAAAGAAAACCCTTCTTATCTCACACTGTATCACTTACGTCCTGACCACAGAACTCAGCCCTGAGTTTCCTGGTAGCAGAAGCAGGTGAAAGGTGATGAGTTAGATGACTTCAGGATCTAATAACAAAGAAACACTACCCCTTCTCAAGAAACAAACTTCTTCCTAGCCAAAATTATTGTCATGTATTTCAGTGTTTCAATGTAACAGTGTCATGGAGAAATGCAGTTTGTCCCCTGCATTAATGCTCTTCAGACCATCAGTCCCAGCAGAAGCCAAGGAGATAATACTGCACCTTTGCCCTGTTGGACCGGCCCACCTTCTGGAGTGGATGACCTGGGACCTCCAAAACACGTGGCTCAACTGTAGGACGTGTGTCGATCTGCTCACACACGGAGCAAACACTGGCCCAAATCCCGGGAAATTATACAGTTATTTCCAGACTTTCTCTGGTTCTTTTTCTTTGGTGATGGTGGTCCTGGGGTTTGAACTCAGGGCCTGGACTTGCTAGGCGGGCGCTCTACCAATACTTCTTGAGCAGCGGGGATAACAGAAGTGAACTATAACAGTTGGCTTGTTCTTTTGATGGGGTCTCCCTTTTTGCCCTTGTTGGACTTGAACCTTCATCCTCCTCTGTCCACATCCCAAGCTGAGATTACAGATGTGAGCCATCTCACTCAGATTCCCAAGTCCCCTTTAGATTCTTGAAATTTTTGAAAGAAGGTAAAAAGTCTTATGTGGGCTGTATCTATCAAGACTTTTGGTATTTGAAATACAACCTAGATCAGAGAAAGCCTGGTGACCTTCAGCGCCTTT